CTAGGCTTTAGAATCGCCTGTCTGTCAACAGGGTTCCGTTTGGAAAGTCTGTGTTTTGGCAGTACAGCTTGAGTCGGTGCATTTTTTTGTATGTTTGGGTGCACGTAGTTTCGAAAGAATTGAAGATTGACATTTGATTTGTGCGGTTGAAACTTAGATCAGATTTGGCTGGTTGGCATTGTGTTTGTAGTGTTTTGCGTGGAGGAAGTCGGCCAAAACTGACAATTTGCTGCGAAGCACTGAATCATCGGCTTGATGTTGTTTTTTCAGCCGTTGAGGCAAGAAGAAGCTCGCGTCTTCGAACAGCGAATACAATCAGCATTTAAGGCAAGTTGGAAATACGACAGCATGTTGGAGTTTTTTTTTTTTTGGCACCGACGCATTACTGACTGTGACAGCGTGTGACAGCTGAAGCAAGATTCATTTCCATGTGAAGACGGCCATAAATTAGACTTCCACACTAAGCCAACCTTCTTGCGCTTCAAACTTTGCAAAAACAAACATTTGTCAGGAACTTTGGGTTTTGAGCGTCAGAGTAGTGCTCGTTGAAGCAGAAAAGAAAGAATTCAAAAGTGGAAGGAAGCAAAGTGGCAGTGGCAGTGGCAGTGGCAGTGGCAGTGGCAGTGGCATGGCAGTGGAAGTGGAAGTGGAAGTGGAAGTAGAAGCAGAAGTAGAACCAGAAAAGACATGTAGAAGTAGAAGTAGAAGTAAAAGTAAAAGTAGTGGTGGTCCTAGTGGTGGTAGACGTGGTTTTAGTAGCAGTAGTAGTAGTAGGAGTAGGAGTACTAGTAGTAGAAGGAATAGTAGTAGTAGTAGTAGTAATAGTAGTAGTGGTAGTAGTAGTAGTAGTAGTAGCAGTAGTAGTAGCAAGAATAGTATTAGTAGCAGTAGTAGTAGTAGTAGTAGTAGTAGTAGTAGTAGCACTAGCAGTAGTAGTAGTAGTAGTAGTAGTAGTAGTAGTAGTAGTAGTATAGTAGCAGCAGCAGTGGTAGTAGTAGTAGTAGTAGAAGTAGTAGTAGTAGTAGTAGTAGCAATAGTAGTAGTATCAGCAGTAGTAGTAGTAGTAGTAGCAGTAGTAGTAGTAGTAGTAGTAGTAGTAGTAGGAGTATTAGTAGCAGCAGGAGTAGTAGTAGTAGTAGTAGTAGTAGTAGTAGTAGTAGTAGTAGTACTAACAGGAATAGAAGTAGTCGTCGTCGCAGGAGTCGTCGCAGCAGTTGTCGTCGTCCTAGTTGTTGTGTCGTCGTAGCAGTCCTGGGAGGAGTCGTCGTTTGCGGCATCACGTCACCATGCTTGTGTTCGGAGTCCTGCGCTGGCTCTTGCGAGCGGAAGTTTTTTTTTTCGACATTCGACCGGCAGCCTCTTTGCTTCCAAACGACGACCGCTTGCTGCTGCTCATGTGCGAAGCTTGTTCTGTGCGTGCTTGTTTCTCCTGGTGTTCCGTCGCCTCGAAAGGCCAAACGCAGAGTCCATGCAGCGTCTCTTCAAGAACCTCGCGCCTGCTGACGTCCACATCGGCATACCCTTGCTTCTTGCCGCGACTCAAGCGCGAGGTCCGCTCTTCAAAACCGATGCCTGCGAGAACAAGGCCGAAGAGGCAGACAGTCCTGCCCCAAAGTGTCGCAGCATTTACCCGGTTTGAATTTTGCGCTGTACTGTATGCACCAAAGAATATCGAGGATGTCGAAGCTCGAGAGGAGGTCGCGCTGGACCTGGAAGTGGCGGAGTCCTGCCTTTGGAGTACGCGCTGCATGCTAGAGTCTGCTAGAGAATTTTTCGACTTGTGACGCTGTGGTGTTGCTCGCGGGGGTTTTCATTTTCGCATGTTCACTTTTTCGCGAAGCCGTTGGTGTTGATGTGTTCGCCCGATTCCTGTTATGTTGTGTGAAACTGATTGATCCTGCAAGGGATCCAGGGTTAGGGTATTATGGCTGTATTGTGTTTAAATCGAATTCTGCTAAAATGGTGGGATACCCTTGAACCTTGGACTCAGAAGAAGACTTCTGGGGCACGAATGGTTTTGAAAAGGGACATCAACCCGGGACTCAGAGGATGTGTGGCCTTGTAGCCTGGGCCTGGAGCTGACATGCAGATACACGTGTTTGATGGGGCGCTAATTTCTTGAAGTATGAATGGAAGCAGGACTTCGGTATGAACCGTAGAATCAGATGCGGCAGCCCACGTGGTCGCACTTCCTTTCGGAGTGTCCCCAATCTTCTGTTCCCGCGCTGTTCACGTGGGCGAGTTCTCTTAACACGGCTGCTCGCTTCTTCAGCAGCTGCTCGCTTTTTCGCACGAGCACTGCAGAGCTCAAGTCCAGTCTTAGAGCGAGGAAGTTCATAGGTTCATTGATACACAGTGTGTTCATGGCCATTTCGTTTCGACATTCCGAAGTCCTCTCCGTCCTTGTTGGGGTTGGGGTTCAGAGTTGCCTTCAAGGTGGATGAGCTGCAAGCCAAGATCCCATTGAACCTCTTGTTCTACCACTCTACCTAGATTTCCAGGGTGCTTGCCTGCAACCTGAACAGATCCTACGATTCGGTGCAGTCGCGCTGGCACGTGCGACGTTGGGCACCTTTGGGGCATCGAGATGGGACGGAGAAACTGTCGCGGAGAGGAGGCAATCGAGCTCCGGTCATCCCTTGATCAGGGCTTTAATCAGAGCAAAGGAGTTTAGGGTCTAGGGTTGCGGGTTTTGGGGGTTTAGGGGGTTTGGTTGGGATTTATTTCTCAGGGGTATTGCCTATCATCTACATCTGGTTCCTCTGGAAAGCTTGGCGGAGGTCGTTGTTGTGTGTTGGAGAAGATTTTTTGTTCATTTCTTCATTCCTCCCCTTGCCACGGACCCTAAACCCACAGACTACCCTAAGCCCGGGTCCGCCGGTTGGGGTTCGGGGGAACCCCAACACCAACCTGCGGGCCTGGGTTGGGGCCATCCTAAACCCCAACCCACGGGTTCAACCCAACCTGAACCTGAAGTTCACGTTAAGCTCAACAGAACCTGAACCTGAGGTTGGGGTTGGTTTTGCCCTCCTCGGGCCGGGGACCGAGGTTGCAACAATGTTCAACCCCAATCCCCAACCCACACAAAAAGTAGCAGAAAATTCTGTCAAGTCTGATCGTTTTCAAAGCTCGAAACGGAGTTTAAATCCGAATTTTTCGTGTCAAAAAAATGCACCAGTCGAAGACACCCCAGTCGTAGACCACCATCCATTGCGGAAACTGCGGGTTCCCACAGAACAGTTTTGCAAGGTACTTTCGCTCTGCACGTAACAAAGTGTGCTTTCGGACTGTGAGAAAGTGTCCACGTGCTGATTTGGCAGGATTTTGTCGGTTGCCTTGCAGACTTTGCAGAGTTTTAGTCTGGATGCAATTTTTCAGTTTTGTCCAACCTTGTGGATGGTCCCGTCTGTCTGTACTTTTGTGCTGAGTGCTTGTTGTGCCCGCGATGTTCAGCAGTCTCTCGCCCGCTTTCGCTTTTTGCCTTCCATTGTTCACATGAGCTTGCCTTTGCTCCTCGCTCGTCTTGGAACGATCCGGATTTGCGGCAACCCAGCAAACGCAGCTTCAGTCCAGCTTGTTGGACTGACAGCAGACGCATTATTTGGTTGCTCCCTCCAAGTTTGAACGCGCCTTCGGAACCAGCATCTGGTGGATTTCTCGCAGGTGCAATGCCATCGTTGCCCCGCTCTTCAGAGTTTCTAGCAATATTTGGTGGCTCTGGAGCTGGTTCCGCCTGCACTAACACCAATTGAGAAGACTCGCGTTGCAACAAGCCCATTGGCGCTGAAGACCTGGCATCATTCTTTTTTCAAAGGGGCTTGGTAGCAAACAAGTCGAACACAAGTTACAAACACCGCAAACACAGTTGAAAGCTCACCACTGTCGGAAGCACCTCCATCCGGAATTGCAAACAAGAAGAGTTTGCTCTTTCCTCTGGAAATGCAGTGCAAGTTTGCCGTGCACTGGGAGAGCTGCCAAACTTACCTTCAATACAATCTTTTACATGCTCGCCAACCTTCATCGTTCTTTTTCATGACGAAGTTTGACTGCCATTCTTGTTTTTGTGCCCAAGAAGTCAGTCCAGTGGTGCTCTGTGTCATCTTGCTGTAACTTATTCAAGACTGGTTTCCAAGAGCTTCTGTGCGTTCATCCTGCTTGAATGTTATTAACGTTTTCCGCCACATGTCAGTGTTGTGTCGTGTCGTTTCGTTGTCAGAAATGTTTTTGGAACTGTTTGAGATGAATCTTGTTTCATCGTCGCTGTAAGTATTGCGTGTTCATCAATGAATAATGACTTTAGGCTTAGGAATTATTGTTTACCAACAGCAATTTGTGCCAAGCGCCCTGCTCCAACCCCAACCAGTGTGGACTTGTCTCACTTTCGTACTCCGTAGCATTTGGTATGCTGCGTGGTGTGAATTTGAACGGACACATTTTAGCCATCCCCCTTGCTGACAGGTCCAAAGCTCCGGACAACATTCTCTGGAGGAAGAACATCCTGGTTAACATGTTTTTGTCATACAAACAAGATCAACCATGGAGTGGCAGGACCGCCAATTCAAAAAAACATCCTTTGTATCAGTTAACATGCTGTTGATTGTCGTTGTGTTTATGGTTTGTGGAAACAACTTTTGCTCCTTTCTATGCCAATTGTTGCTGGACGACATGTCTGGCTGCTTTTTTCCTTGTCTCGAACCAAATTTTTGTATTTCGACGTGTTACTTGATGCTTTTGAGCGGTGGAAAGGTGCGGTATATGCGATCTGCAGCTGTTTGTGGTTGTGCTTGGCAGCCGCATTGCATGGAACGAAGGCCCGATACGGTGCGTACCGTGTCGATCGAACTTGTGTGAGTGCCACATTGGTAACGGGTCCCTCGCAAGCCTTGAAGCTTCAAACAGCTGGGCTCAACTGCCTTCAAACCGTAAGTCTGCGTGTGAAATGAAAGCACTTGTGGCTTACACCTTCCGTCACATTGGTATGTTAGAGTGACAGCCTTGCAATGGCGCTGCTAGCCGATGCAGCTGGATTGCCAAATCCTCGCATCGAACCTGGGAAAAGGCCTGCGGTTGGAGGTCGCAATAGCTTAGTTTCAAGCATTGCTTTTGTCTTCATACCCTTGGCCTTGGCGAGACTTTGTATCAAAGTGTGCAGCCGTTCTTTGACCTGTGACGGAGAAGGTCGGCCACGGCCATGGTATGTAAGCTGGAGCCTCACGTTGAAAGCGTTGTTTGACAGAGGAGCTGGTGGGGAACCCAGATTTCTGACATTACCGTCAACGACGCTTGGTCGCACTTTTGGAGGGGCCGGCTCACAGTCAGCAGGGCAGCAAGACAGCGCCTTTTCAATGATACCCATCAGCAAGAGGCCGTGAGAAGCAAAGGTGGTTGCGGCATTGTTCTCATATATAATATATGCTCACTTTGAGACCAGACGCAACCCTGCGGATGTTCTGGACAACTGTGCGCGACTTCTCAGATGATCGCTGCAAAGTGAGGTTGAGAACTTGGAAGAGTCGGAAAGTCAACGCCTGGGGATCTTGGGGTGCTGCAGCCGGGCAACGGGCGTGCTGCGAAACTGTTGTGTCTGCTGCACCCTTGCAGCCGCAAGATACGAAGACGGCAGATTTTGAGTTTTTGCGAGTTTCTGTGCAGCGCGTTTTGCTAATCCCGTAGTAATATTAATTAACAAACAGGCAGTTTTCCCCTGTAATTGCTACTCAAGGGATCAGCCAGAAACGTATTGACACAAGATGTACTTCTGTGTGCATGATTCGAGGTCCTGCTACCGGCGATCTGCTTGGTATTTGGCAGTGAGCTAGACACGTCGACGTATCGGCTGGCTGTGATGGCTGTTGGACTTCTGTTGTTGGCGATCTCTTGCTGCCTTTGCTGCTGTTCGTTGCGGCACACTTGTTGTGAGGGGATTTTCAACCTGCCGGAGCCAGCGCCACTGATACCTCCGCTGTCCAAGACTCCTGGTTCCAGGCTTGAAATCAAGAAGTTGTTGCTTGTATACAATCCCAATGCTGGGAAGCGACAGGCAAAAAGGATTCTGGAGGAGATGGTGCTGCCAGGATTGCAACGGCGTGGAGTCGAGTGCACGACAATCGCTACTGAGAGTGTCGGGCACGCTCGTCATCTGGGAATGACGCTTCCACTGGCGGACTTCCAGGCTGTTGTGACGCTTGGGGGTGACGGCACTTTCCATGAGCTGGTGAATGGCATGTTCTCACGAGAAGATGGCAAGCAAATCCCGGTGAGCCTCATCCCTTTGGGGACAGGGAATGGCTTATCGGCGACACTGCGCCAGAACATGCAGCGACAGGGTGAGGAGGTGTCGGTCTGGTCAGAAATGGATGCGATACTAGAGTGGTCTCTGGACAGGATATGCGGTGGCGACGTTGCTCGTGTCGACCTGCTGGAGGTGGAGGTCATGAACCGTCGGCTGCTGGCAGTGATGATGGTCTATTTGGGGCTCTTCGCTGAGGTGGACGTCGTCGCTGAGCCGATGCGATGGCTTGGGCCAGCACGCTTCGACATTGCAAGCATCCTCATGATTCTGAAGCAGCAGCCACAGACCCTCAGGAGCGCGAGCTTGCTGAAGATTGCACTTTAGCAAGGTTTTCGAGGTGGCCCGGCCATGCCTAGTTCTGGGTACCCGTGAGGTGCAAACTCACCTTCGCGGACGGAACGGTGCAGGACGACAGCTTGTCCACGATCGGAGCTTGCATGGGCTTGTGCCAGCATTTCTCAGACAAGCTCCGGTCCGTTCCGCAGGCAGTCTCGTCAATAGCTGGGTTTACCAACATTATATCAGAAGTGTTGGTGTGATCTGCTCGGAGCAGAGCGGGTCCTCCGTGCAGAAATCGCACCACAAGATGACCTGCTCGAAGCAGGCAGAACCCTCAAGTTTTGGAATTGGGTTCATGTGTTGAACAGGCGCAGCTCGACGATGGTCTGGCGGAATTTTCTGTGCCTGGTCTTGAATTCTTCCCAGAGGGGCTGCGAGCGCAGTTGCTGTGGAGCCTTGTTTCGTGCAAGACGAACTGACAAGACTCTTGGGGTCAGAGTTCAGGTGCTCTCCTCGGGGGCCACGGTCGACCAGACTTTCGCGGGTTTTCTGAAGCTGCCAAACGGTGCACATACTGGTGACAAGGAGATGGAGGGAGATGCTGTGGAGAAAGAGAGAGAGAGAGAGAGAGAGAAAAACAAATATTGGGTTCTCTGCTCGTAACCCTGAGCCGCATCGATCAAAGTTTTCACACATGGACAGCGTCGCCAGTGCGCGTACGTGCGCGGGGGAGGGTGCAGTGCCCTTCTCTTGACTGTGTGGAGGAAGAGAGAGAGAGAGAGAGAGAGAGAGCCCCTTGA